CAGAAGGGGAAATGTGATGGTTAATTTTATGTGTCAGCTTGGCAGGGCCACAATGCTAAGTTATTTGGTCAAACTTTATTTAAAATGTTTCCATGGAAGTGAGGTTTGTGGAAGGGGTGTGATAAGAGTAACATTCAAATTGGTGAATTTGAGTAAAGGAGATTACTCCCCATAATGGGAGTGGGACTCATCCAGTCAGTATAAGGCCTTAATAGCACAAAGACTGACCTCCCCAAAGAAGGAAGCCTGCCTTCGGATTTCAACTGCAAATCTTGCATAGGTCTCCAGCAAGCCAGGCTACCCTGCAGACTGTGGATTTCCCAGGCTTCCATAACCACATAGGCCAATTACTTAAAAAGTTCTAATAGTGTCTCTTCTCTCTCTCTCCCTCCTCATTGTCTACCTCTTCCTCTCTCTATATACCTATAACTTGGATGCTGTGATCTGATTTCTTTTTATGCCTTTCCTCCTGTCTCAGTTTGGATACCACCCACCACCCCCCAGTTTAGATAATTTCTATTAACCTATCTTCAGGGTAACTGATTCTTTCCTCAGTTCCCTACAGTCTGCTGACAGACCTGTTGACCTCTGAGATCATGTTTTCAAAATTTTCTAGCACTTTCACTTGAATCTATTTTTAGTTTCTATCTCTTCTGAAATTCATCTGTTCATGCATGTTGTCCATAATCATGGGTTATTTTAAAGCCTCTGTCCATTAATTCCATCATCTGAGTCGTCTCTGAGTCTAGTTCTATTGATGGCCTTATCTCTTGTAGGTGGTTTCTTCTCTCGATTTTGTGCCTTTTGTGCATTAACCGGTGCACACTGTAATAGAAGAATAAAGACGGAGGTACATTATCTTCATGCTTAGAGATAGGCACATTATGCTGTCATGCTGTTAGTATTAGTTGGGAGTTGAGCTAGGTTTGGGTTTTCTGGTGAACCCTGATAATTTCCATGTACCTCAGGCTGCAAATTTCTCCAGCAATGGGTTTTATCTTATGCAAAGAGTGGAGCCAGAGCTGAAGAGATTTTTTTTCTCAGTGTTCCTACTCCTCCTTCAGGTTTGAAGTGTCCCATGATGCCTGGCCACAGAGTGGGATCCTTCTCCATGCCTTTGCCCCTGCTCTGGGGGTTGATGGCAATTACTTTTACATAACAATCTCACATCATCTCAATGACCACCTTTTATTTCTCATCACAACACTGGCCTAAAGTGCCCTTAGCTGTCTGTATTCTTCTCACTGCTTCATGAAGGGCCTTCTGGTGCCCAAATGCATGCATGCTCACAGAAGGCCTGTGAAGATAAAACAGTCAATATAGTCTCAACGGAAAAAGCAGTGAGGGAGGGAGAAGGGTCAGTGGGGCATATGTGTCAACAAGAAGTAACAACCAGGACCTGAAAGCATGGGAAGCCAGCCACAGTGCCCATGGTAGCGATAGGGAAGTTCTCTCCTATCCTGGTCCAGCCTCGGTCTTAAACAGGCCCTGTGAACATGGACTTCCTTCCTTTCCATGGCAACCAAAACAAATGTGTATCTGTGGCAGTTCTGGAGCAGGAGAAAGTTTCCTACTCCTCCTCCAGCAATAGACCTCTGCTTTGTGTTGGTGTTGAACCCAGCTTTGGGTTTAGACTCTCAAGTGGCTGTGGGAAGACATGCTTCAGTACAGCCATTCCCTTGCCTGGTATCATGATGTGCTTCACTGAATTTAGCTCAAGTATTTTTTCCCTTTCCTTGATGCTGGCTGCTAATGTAAATTGCATCTTGGCCGCCCACTCTCTTCTGTCTATGCTGATAGACATAGGTGAGCAAAGTCTCACAGTCATTCTTGAAAGCATTCCCCAGACCCACTTCCAGGGCCAGTGACATATGCAGGAAATCTGCTGCTTCTGGGTCAGCACAGAGCTGGTCTTTCACAATGGGACATAAAACTAGAAAGAAAAAAAAATCCACGTGGCTGCCATATACTCCTTGCTTAAGAAGCGTGAAGGCTTTGGAAGTCAGAAGACTTATCCGGTTACTTCCCCTTGATTATCCTCATAGGTAAAATAGGAAAGCTAAACTAGGTGGTCTTTAAAGTCCTTTGCAATGCTAAAATTCTCTAATCCGACTACCGGATTCATCCTGCAGTTTTCTAAGGACAGAACTTTGCAGCTAAGTCCCAGGGCCACACATCTCTGTGAACACAATGCCTGGCTTCCTCTGCTGTACATGTTTGAGGCCCTGGTCATTCATTACTTCTTATCCACACGTACACCCCACTGACTGTTTTCCCACCCTCACTGCCTTTTCCTTTGATTGTTTTTTGTTTTTGTTTTTGGTGGGAAGCAAAGCAATGTCTATTGAGCAATAGTGAAGTGATACTACAAAGCTCCCAAGGAGGGAGGGGACTTGAGAGGGTTGCCCTGCCTTTTCCTTTGAGGCTACGTAGCCTTCTGTGAGCATGCATGCATTTGGGCACCAGAAGGCCCTTCGTGAAGCAGTGAGAGGAATACAGACAGCCAAGGGCACTTTAAACCAATGACGTGATGAGAAATAAAAGGCTGTTGTGGATGGGGTGCCCAGCTGGCTCAGTCGGTAGAGCATGCTACTCTTGATCTTGGGGTCATGAGCTTAAGCCCCACAATGGGTGAAGAGCTTACTTAAAAAAAATGAAAATGAAAAATGGTTGTTGTAGAGATGTAAAAAATGTAGAAATCCTCTAAAGTGTTAAACAAGTATTTAACAGTACTAGTAAGGGTAATATTGGTTAGTAACTGTCGGTTAGTAGGGGTAACAATTTGGTAGTACTCCCTACTGACTGAGTATTGTGTGCATCAGGCATTCTGCAAAAGGTAGGTGTCCCTTTAACAACACCATGATGTGATCACCAGTCAGCCTCATTCTACTGATGAAATTCCTGCATCTTCATGTTTTCATGTAATAAATAATCTCACAAAAATGTACAATGTAGTTAAATACTGCTTGGGGTACTGGAGTGGCTCAATCGGTTGAGCATCCAACTCTAACTCTTGACTTCATGGTTCTGATTCGAGCCCAGCATGGAGCCTACTTAAAAAAAAAACAAAAAACTACTCTCATTGCCTTTCATTGGTTTCACCACCACATCCAAAAAGACTGTGGGGAAAAGACTGTCTTGCAGTTCCTCTATTTTCTCAAGAGGCCTGAGACACAGACAGCTCTGTAGTTCAGAAGATGCTGGCATAATCAGTCTAAGTTTTACAGGCATAGGAGACCTGAATTGGTCTACAACGATACCTAAAATTTAGACAGCAAAAAGGAAAAAGGGCATTGTAGCATGGTCTCCCCTGTAGAAAATGGGGATTAAGGCTGTGATAAACAAAACGTGTCAGAAGAATATAACTTACAAGAAAAAAGAAAACAAGAGTCAGGACAAGTGTTTCTCTTTAATTTCACTTTAAATCAAGTAGCTTCCAGGCAAATCAACAAATGTTTTTCAAAGTCAAGAAAACAGGTTTAATTTTAAGAAGATAAACAGGGGCACCTGGCAGGTTCAGTCAGTAGAGTGTGCAACTCTTGATCTCACAGTCATGAGTTCAAGCCCCACATTGGGTGTGGAGCCTATTTAAAGAAAAAAAAAAAAAGGCAAACAGAACCCAAAAATACTTAACCTCTGGAATCAGACTTCTGAAATGATACAAACTGCCTTCCCATGGCATGTTTCTGCAGAAGAGTCACACTGAAAAATACACACACACGCCCACACAGAGGAACCTCTGGAATGACAGGACCACCCACTCACACAGATTCTTCTTAAATATTGAACAACATCCTAAATTGGAGAGGGAGTGTCATATTGTTGCTTGAAAGAACTAACTATGGTGTCTTCCACTCCAGTGGACAAAATTTGTTTCATATTAGCCATATATGAATTAATTACTAAAGAATCAGTCTTTCAGAAAAGTATCAAAAAAAATTGTGACGAAATTTGGAGGTAGAAGGGGGATAAAAAAGATCAGAAGATGAAGGACAAAAAGGAATAATGCCCTTCCTTGATGAGAACAAAAGAGGAACATAATGCTTGTCTGATAATGAAATTTAGATACAGTTAAGACTCCAGATTCTTGGACACCTGGGTGGCTCAGTGATTGAGCGGCTGCCTTTGGCTCAGGTTGTGATCCTGGGGTCCTGGGATCGAGTACATCAGGCTCCCAACAGAGAGCCTGCTTCTCCCTCGGCCTATGTCTCTGCCTCTCTCTGTGTCTCTCTCATGAATAAATAAAATAAAATCTTAAAAAAAAAAAAGACTTGAGATTCTTAAATGCTAGCCATATTATTCCCATTAACTCACTTCATCCTTGCAATTTTAAAAGTTATGTATGTTGTTCCCATTTTACAGAAATGGGAATGGAGGCCAGGAGCAGTAAAGACTAAGTAGGGCTGGAACTCTAAAAGTTATCTTTCCTTCACACCATGAGCTGAAGAGCTCATGTCCTTCAAACAAATCCCCCACTCAATGAGCCATAACACAGGTATTTACCTGTTAGCTACTATTCCTTTGAGGCAAAGAACTGTGTTCTACTCTACTAAAAGGTTCCTGGAAAGGCAACAAATTAAATCTATGCAGAGAGGAATTCCTTTCAGAGGAACATCCTAGACTGAGACATTTTGAATGGGATGGGAAGGGAAAAGAAAGGATCCTGCACAAGTGAAGCACACTGGTAGCAGCAGTAAAAATTCAGGTGGCCATAAGAGGGCCAGGGGACTACTGAGGGAGGCAGGGTGGTGAGGAGGCAATAGGGAGTATTGAGAGGGAGAAAACACCATGGACAATCCAAGTGGAACATCCAATAAATATGTGGTCGCCATCAGAGACAAAGGGAGCCCTGGGTCTGGTGGTGGCCACAAAATGTGTTCCTGAACAGACAAGCTGGTTGATTGTGGCCTTAGAAAGATAATATATTTGACCATACCCATTCCCTGCTCTTGAGAAACTGACATATAGAAAGACCTGAAAGAAACTGCCTATGTAGGGGTGCCTGGTTGGCTCAGCCAGTAGAGCGTGTGACTCCTGATCTCAGGGTCATGAGTTCAAACCTCATGTTAGGCATGGAGCCTCCTTGAAAAAAACAAGGGAAAGGAAAAAGGAAAGGAAAAGGGAAAGGAAAGGAGAAACTGCCTATGTATGTAGTAATGGCCCATGTCACTCTGTGAATCAGCAGTGCAAGCTGCTTTTCAATGAAAGAAAAAGGTATAGGACCCAATGTGACCATCATCTTAAACCTCATAACCCAGAACCATGAGGTAAGTCATGCTCAGAGGCACAGCTAAGACAGGAAGATCCAGTTGGAAGAAACAGATTCAAAATGTGTCTCCAATTCTAGTCCACACACAGAAATCACCAATTCTCCAGACCTGTTCCTTCCTTAAATACACAAACATGTTTATGACAGCTTGGCCCTTCTCCTGAATCAAAGTACCCACAAGAGGGGTCGGCAAACCTCGTCTCTGAGCACCCATCATCTCTGGGGAAAGAAAACCCCCTCCCTACATCACTGTGTGGCAATGCTCACAGAACCCTGATCTCAGGACCAGGACTAGAAGTCTATATAAGTGCTCGCCTTGTCGAAAACTATGAGTTAGGCCCTCAAATTAATAGCAGTTGGCCTGGTAGGGTCAAAACCTACCTGGCAGAAGTAACAATAAGACCAGAGAGAACAAAACTCAATTAAAACAAAAAGTGACCGTGTTGGCTTCTGTCTCCTGAAAGAAGCGCGTGTGTGTGTGTGTGTGTGTGTGTGTGCGCACGTGCGTGCGCTAACAAACTCCCTCACAGCAAAGGCTACCAGAGGACCAGAAGGTTCACCCATAGTTTATAAGGGCCTGATCCTCATCCGTGGCTTAGGCAGAAGCAGGCCTGAACAGCATGTTGGGGGAGGAACCAGAGAAATGATTTAGGCTACAGAGTAAGATGGGAGAAGGCTGTTTGGAGAGTGGCTATAAAGTGGCACAGGAAGAAAGGAGGCATCATGGCAAGGGGGCAAAGGTCATTTAAGACCAAATACAGTTACACCACTAGATTCTAAGTTGTCTTTATTGCTATAATGTAATACATCCCCCTTACCCCAGACCTTCAATCCAATCTGCTGTGCACAAAAATAGCTTTGTGTGTATTACATTCTTATTGTTGTTTGGTGGAAACCAGGAAAAAAGGGCCAACTTCCAGGCTGATTCAACACAAAGCAAAAAGAAGAGAAAAAAAAACGCAGAAAGGGAAACGTGGGTTCTACAGAAACAAGTGATCATAGAATGTAAACCTGTAGGGCTGCTCCAATCTAGAGGAGGGCAGAGGATGGGGAAGTTTAAGTCGACATCTGGTTTCTACCCATTTACGCCCACAGCTGTGAAATTGCAATGCAGATTTATCATGGAGCACCCACTGTGCGCCACGCACTATCTATCTGCGTTAGAGGCTTGGAAGGTACAAATGAAGCAGACTAGGTCCCTACCCTCATCAGGCACTGTGTGTGTGTGTGTGGTGTGTGTGTGTGTGTGTGTGAGAGAGAGAGAGAGAGAGAGAGAGAGAGAGACAGAGACAGAGAGATAAAGATGTAGAGATGAAAGAAACAGGTTTCACAGTGCAAGCCAAACACAGCACGCTTTTAGCAAGTACAGAAATGTCTACAAGGTAAAGTAGATCATAATGCTGAAAGTGAGGTGCACAGTGGGGGTTATTAGAACAGAGGTAAGACTCCCAATTTCATCTAAGATAAGGAAGGGGAAGAAGTGGTCAGAAACTGTAATGTCCAACTCCAGGCTTGGGCATCAGCATGAAAAAAAAAAAGGTGCTGTTACAAGCCATTCCAAGTGGCCAGAGAGTAGGTGCATCCATCCAGGAGAACTTACAGATAAATCTGGAGGGTAGGTTGGGGCTAGACAAGGAAGGGCATAGTACATCCTGCTGAAGAATTAGGTTTGAGTTAAAGGGAGGGACGCCTGGGTGGCTCAGTGGTTGAATGTCTACCTTCAGCTTAGGGCGTGATCCCAGAATCCTGGGATGGAGTCCCACATCAGGCTCCCTGCAGGGAGCCTGCTTCTCCCTCTGCCTGTGTCTCTGCTTCTCTTTCTGTGTCTCTCATGAATAAATAAATAAAATCTTTTTAAAAAGAAAGAAAGAAAAGGAAGGGATACTGGGGAGATGTCAAAGGGTACACATTTGCAGAAGATGAAAAGGTCCTGGAGGCCTAATACACAGCACAGTAATTACAGTCAACAACAGTGTATCATATACAGTAAAGCTACTACAGGATTGGATCTTAAATACTCTTACCACAAAAAAGAGATAGTTATGGGACATGATAGAGATGTTAGCTAAAGTTATGGTGGCAATCATATGACAATACATAAATGCATCAAATCAGCACCCTTATATACATCAATTAGAACCTCAAGGAAAAAAAATTTTAATCTTAAAAAAAAAAAAAAAAAAAAAAAGTCCCAGCACACCAGCCTAGAATGCCTCAGAATACTCAGGGTTTGGCAAAGATCAGCCTGACATCTTAGCTTCTAGAAATGCCATAAGGTTCCTTTTTTTAATATCTTTAATTAAAAAAAATTTAAAATGCCATAAGAGCACTTTTATATTTAAAAATCTAAAATACATGCAAAACATCACAATTTGACCAGGATGCAATTTAAGTATGTGGTTTTGGAGTCAAATCACCCATAATGTGCTTGTCCAAAACATATATAGATAAGTGTAAAAATTGTAGTTTGGAACCTTCACGGAAATGGAGTCAAGATCTGCACATCTCAGGAGACGTACTAGCTTCCTTGAAGACAGAGACTGTAGAAATCTGAAGTCTGAAAGCTACTGAGTTCAGCTTTCCAAATCTTAGGAAGCCCATAGGGGACTTCTCTTCCGATAACTAAAATCTTATTACCTAGTCCAAAGACTGACTCAAAAAATCCTCTGACAGTATTTCTCACACACCAATCCACAGTCCTGGATCCAATTCCTAAATCCAACACTCATCCACATTACTGCCATCTATACAATCCACAGAGAAGTGGTGGCTGCTTTTCCAGTGATGCCTGAAGCTCACCAAATTCAGTTCACACATATTTTTATTCACACAATCACACTGTCAATAATTTGCCTTCAAGGGTATAAAACATGCTTTTAGCAAAAGGTACCAAATTCTGGAAATAGCACTGAACCTGAAGTCAAGATGTCTGGAGCCCTCCTCTCCCGGTTAACAGGCCATCTAACCCTGAACCTAAAACGGAAGCAGACTCTTGTCCCGCATCACAAGGGGCTATTACGAGCACCTGCGCAGACAGTGAGAATGTGTTCCAAAACAGATAAAGAAGCAAACACATCAAAGAGACTTTTCTAAAACAAAAAACTTTCTTCTAAATTACTCTTGATTAGCAGCACCTGACTGGCTCAGTCGGTGGGTTGTAGCATGTGACCTTTGATCTCGGGGTTGTGGGTTTGAGCCCCATGTTGGGTGTAGAGAAAAAAAAATGTTTTTAAATGAATGCCAAATAAATAAATGATTCTTGGTTAGGTGACTGTGGTTGTGATGACACTTCACATTAACTCTGAATCCTCAAACAGCATTAAATAATAACCAATGATCACAATCAGTAAACAAAACCTACTAAGACAACACTCCATTGCATATTAAATTAGAGGTACTGGTGGAGGAAAAAAAAAAAAAAACAAGAAAACTGCAAAACCAGCATCATTAAGCATTCTCTGGACCTTGGTGGCTTAGCGTTAAAATTCTGCAGGCTCTGACTGGCATTCAAAAGAGAAACTTGTTCTTACAGCAACAGATAAAAAGATTTGTCCACCAAGCTCTTCCTCTTCACTACTCCCCACCCACTTCCTTTTCTTCCAAAGGAGAACGCACTCATTTTACGCACTGGTTTGCCACATCCTGCCTCGGAAGCTACTTCCCAGGAGCTGCTCCGGCTATTCTGAGAGGAGGTTTAACTCCTTCAGGCCCCCCAAACCACTACTATATTTATGACAGCCTCACCCACCACAGTCATTTACAGTCTAGTAACTAGAATCCACACGATCAGATAATACTCCTGACTTCTTCATGCTACACACTGAAGTAAGCATCTGACCTACAACACAGTCCTGCAGGAGCCACATCCCTTGGTCCCACCTGGGGGCTCCAACTAGTCCAGGTTTGCTTAATCAGCCAAAAAAAAAAGACAAAAAGAAGAAATGACTGGGGCCCCTGGGTGGCTCAGTTAATCTGCCGACTCTTGATTTCAGCTCAAATCATGATCTCAGGGTCCTGGGATACAGCCCTGCATCGGCTCCATGCTCAGCAGAGTTGGCTTGAGGATTCTCTATCTTCCTCTCCCTCTGCCCCTCCCCCACTAGTGCATGTGTGTGCTCTACACTAATCTTTTTTTTTTAAGATCTTATTTATTTATTCATGAGAGACACAGAGAGAGAGAGGCAGAGGCACAGGCAGAGAAGCAGGCTTCGTGCAGGGAGCCCCATGTGGAACTGGATCTAGGGTCTCCAGGATCACGCCCTGGGCTGAAGGCAGGCACTCAACCACTGAGCCACCCAGGCATCCCTATCTTTTTTTTTTTTTTTTAAGGAGAATGATTCAAGGAAAGCTATCCAGAAACTTAATGCACACTGTATTTGGTATCAGGGAAAACCCAATGAAGCAAATCTCCTGTCCCACATGGGCTCTGTAAGCTAACACCAACATTCATTCATTACATATTTATAGACCACTTACTATACACCAGACCTAGGCTAGAGATGGGGCATCCAGACAAAATTAAGAGGCTCCAGAAGCTCACAGCATAGATGATGAAACAACAGATATATACAAAGATCACACATCCACATACAACACCCCCAAAGTGGTCTGTCTCACACGTAGTTCATGGACAGCCCCACTGGAAGTTTTCTAATGGAGACCAGGCAAAGTTTCATGGACAATACTGGACTTCAACCTTAAACGAGAGGGTAGACTCCCAAACGTTGGCAATAAACGTGACAGAGAAATCCCAAAGGAAATGTATAAAGTCATGGGTAACATTTTATTGAATGCTTATTATGGT